CTAAGAAAAATAAATGTGAAGGTATTTTGGACGTAGTCTTTCATATTATTTTAATGAGTGGGCTTCCACAACATTTTTTGCCATCAAGCCGGCGAGGCATCATTTGGAATGGGGTGAAATATTTCATTTGAAATTTCAGTTTTGTTTTGTATTGATTACTTAGATTAAAAATGGATAAACCAAAAACCGATATTCCTAAAAATAAAACAATTCAAAAGAGAGTAAAAAATGTGCCAAGAATTATAGAGCAATCAATCACTGAGGCATTGTGTTGTGTATAATAGGTACATACATATGAAATCGAAAATACTTTTATTTGAAGCGCAAATTTTCACTTATTTTGACCATGTGTATCTTCACTTCAGTCATTACTAGCGACATCTGCTGACCGGAAAATATTTGCCCTCTACATACAATGCTTTCTGTTTTACTGCGAATTTAACTGCTTTGGTGTTACAAAAATTTAGATCGTGAGTCAAGAAGCGGACCAGTTTAATTAATAGACAGGCGTGTTATGTTAACTATATCACCTCGAATCGTCAAAAATCTAAAGTCTTTGAAAACGAAAGCAGAATGATGAATGAATGATCATTTAGGTCCCCTTAGAAATATGTGTGCTTAATCCACAAATAAGGTTAAACTACACTCATTGATTAGTTATTTTATTACCTTTTTCGGAAGGTGTTTTCTAGTCCGCACATTTGTTATTAATCGTACATATTAACAAAAGTGTGTGGTGGTACACCAAGTAGCTGCAATTAGTACTTAGATAATAATGTGCCACTCACCAGATGTCGCTAGCTGTGACTGAGTTAGTTTTCTGTTATACAATATCACTTCATTGAGAAATTAATTTTAAATCATAGTTAATCAGTTTCTACAGTGTTATATTAATACACAACACAATGCGTCAGTGATTAGATCTTAAATTTTTGTACTTTATACCTCTTTTTATTATTTCTTTACTTTTAGTTATATTTATAGATTGGTTTATTTATTTTTAACGTAATTAATATAAAAAATAACTATTAATACAGAAGCAAATATTTAACTTTACATGTTTCTAAGAAATCATCTTCCCCTCTATGAAATCTGTCAAATTATTTACCTCATTGTAAAGTGGCGTCGCTCTGGTGGCAGAAAAAGTCGTGGCTGCCCTCATTAGCTTCACGCTATCCGCTTTCTGTTTATAGTGTAGGTCCACATTATACATATAATCCATGCATACAAGTGACAGTAAGAGTGCGTTCTTCCCGACCATTACCTACTGCTTATATATATGACAAACTTCTTTTATACAAAAGTCATTTATGGCTGTTTAGTGGCAGCTTCATATATCTGCCACCTCATTTCTTCTCTTATTTATCGTAAACATGTACTAAGAGAAGACTTTCTGAGATCATGAGAGATTCGTTGCAATTTCTCATGTTCTCCGAAAAAAATGTGTAATTACAATCTAGAAAATATGTTAGATAGTTAGATGACAGACAGCAATGTGTACGACTGTACGGTAGTAAACACCAAATGTGACGAATTTTGTGAAACATGCGGTCTAGTGGGCCGATGGTGATCGTTCACATTTAAAATGGACTAAGAATTATAAAAATTACACGAAGAAAGAATTGTTCATTAATAATTAAATAATATGAGTCAGGATTTTTTTTTAATAATAACAATATCCAAATTTGACCACGTGACAAGTTTTTTGTGTACTTTTTGTCTTGCATTCTCTTTTAATTAGTATAAGCTGGATATATCCCCATGGAAAAATCCATTCGTGACGAATCAGGGTTGCGAGGTGTATATATGTAGTAATACAACATATTGTGTATACTTATACACTAGTCACAAAAATTAAGGGATGTAAAAAAAATCTAAATTTTCAACAAGTTGTAACTCAGAGGAAAATAATCGTACAGCAAAAAAGAAAAAAGCATATTAGAGCTCCAAGTCTCTAGTTTTCAGATCTGGACATTATTTTTTTTTCTTGTTTGGTTCTGGAGTGATCATAAGGAAACGACCGAAAAAAGAATCCAAATTTTGGCTCGTTTTAATAAAGGCCTACGGGCTTCAATTTTTTTTAATTATTTCACTCAAGAGCTTTTTTAAGAAATTTGATTATTTTTTTTGTAGGATTAAGGATGACAAACGAACACACAGTCCACCTGATGGAAAGTGGTTGCTGTGGCCTATAGACATCTGCATCTATCCTCGATTACGAATCAAAATGCAGATGCGTTGTCACCCGTGAGGACTAAGATGGAATGCCTCTTTTCCAGTAAAAAGGGTCTCCGGTTCTCTATACTCACCATACGAAACACAGCAGCATTAAGCTGCTATTTTACGTTGGTATTCTGTGAGAGCGTGGTCCTTCCCCGGTCGAGCCGACCCTTTCGTGCTACAACTATACCAGTAGTATAGCTGCAGCATGGCTCTACCACGTAATTCCTTTTAATTTGACGTAATCAAAAAGCCTTTACGATGAGTTTCCGCGGATTTATCGTCAATCAAAGCAAAAAAGTTCTTTTTAATATATATATAGGAAATTGAAGAAGGGTTTTAAATCTGAGGACATGAGGTACCATTAATGGTTTTTGAAGAAAATAATATTTTTCGAGGCGATAGCTTTTACTGGAAAAAAAAGATAAAAATTAAATTTGCATATTTAAGGATATTTTTATTTATTATTTTATTTATTAGATTAACTTTGGATAAAATGGATGAACGAAGGATATCGTCGGTAATTTTTCAACCTTAAGGTATCCCGGAAAATCCCTGAGAAATTCAAAGCGCTGCGATTTTTTTTCTTATTGCCCCGAAGCTTCAAGTTTATCGTTTGCGCAAAAAAATCACCGTTATGAGCAAGTTTACGATTTTTATTAAATTTTTCGAATAAAAGAAAAATTTATTGGAACAATGAATACAAATAATTCAAAGTTTTTTGTAAAGAAAAGCCGGAATATGTTGGGTGGTATATTAATTTTTTAATGAATTTTAGAATTTACAATTAAAACTAAGGCAATTGCAGCGGTCAAAAAATCAAGTAAATTTTTTTGACGTTAACAAAGAAAATATTGAAAAATCTATCTTTTTGGTCGAAGGAAAAAAATTAATAAGAATCGAAAAATTGCTCATTTGGTGATTTTTGCGAAAACGATAAATTTGAAGCTTCGGGGCACTAAGAAAATAAAACGCGCAGCGCTTTGAATTTCTCTGGGGTTTTATTAAAAATGCGAATTTTTATCTAGTCAAATTTTTATCAGTCAAAGTTAATTCTTCGAATAATTTTTTTTCGTCAAAAGCCATTCACGATACCCCACGAGGTATTGTCGTGCAGTTTTCAAAACCCTCCTTCAATTTCCTATACGATCATTATATTGATTTTCAAAGTTAAAAAGAACTTTTTTGCTTTGATTGCCACCTGAAAAAGCCTGCGACACTGAAGCAAAAAACAATCTTTAGCATTGCAATATATCGATCTGTATTAACTGGGTGGGCCTCTCTAGATTCATGAACATGGACCTGATGAATGTCGTTGCATGGCACAAGCTCTGTACACTATCAATTTTGTATGGATGTAAATCTTCATGTAGATTGCGATTTAAATATGTTCTCGTTTCATCTAAAATACTAGACCGCTTTAGCTTTCGAGTAGAGACCAGGTTGTTCTTGAATAGAGTCTTACGCGCTCTATGTTTACGCGTTCTAGCGATGTCCTAAATCGGTCCTTTACCTCGAACATCTGTACTATTTTTCAATTGTTTGTAATGTTGGCATTTGGTTTGTGTTCCGTATATTGTTATGATTACAAAATTTTCTTATCGCTTCGGTCGCAGAATCGTTACTTCGATAATACTTGGTCACGTGAAACGCTCTGTCCGCTGAATGATGCCATGGCGCTAAGTCCCTATTAGTAGCCATTCTGTCTCAGTCGCACATTAAAACCTTAATGGCGACTAATCGCGGCGCAAACAGAGTAATCAAGCAATCACCATATGAGCCAATGAGAGTCGGCCAATCTTTAACATTTGTAACATAGGTAGCTTTCTGATCAATTCCGTCCGGTCATCTGTGGGATTCCACTCGAGATGCACTTGTTTAATATCTTAAAGTTACTACATATTTCCTTTCATTTTTAATACTGCTTTTCCTTTTTTACTTTCCTATTAGATTTTATTTTAAAATAGTTGCAGTTGATATAATATAAATTTATAATTTAAAAAGTTCAGCCTAGTATGTCGAAAAATCACTGCGGTATTCGTTGACCTTGGACGTGATTTCGTAATATAGGTACTAAATTAAGAAAAAATACGGAGAATTGAGAATAAACATAACCAATTTTAACATAACATAAACATAAAAAATAGTGAGGATAATATAAACAGATAATCTGACTCTCATTGTCTGAGAACAGTATGAAAAAGAAAATATAAAAGTACACAAATCATTAAATGAATCACGACAAATGTTTTTAATAGTAGAGTATGTTATAGGGTTAAACTCATAAAATAATTACATTATTAACAGGAACTCAAATTAATTACTCACCTTTTATTTTGTGCCCTCGTAAAATAATATCGAAATCGCGACAAAACGTAACATACCTGCTGAAAACCCTCAGCGTTAATTGAAAGTAGGATTGTTTTTGTAGTGATTGATTTTTTGTAGTGTTGTAGCTTTAATTAAAATTTCGTTCTTGTGATTGCAATTTGTTTACGTTCTCGCACACTCTTGTTCAGCTCGCATTTCGTCGGTTCAGATAAATAAGAAAAAAGTTTTGAGTAAAACGAATTTTCCTGATTTTCTTTAAGACAAAATCTAATTTTGCAAAGCTTCATTTCAAGTGCGCCACGCTTTACTTGCGAATGGTAATATTTTTTGTTTAGTTCTCGGTTTGAACGCGCTCTTAGTCATTATCGACTATATTGATACTAGAAACTGGGTACAGTATTGTGTACACATATTTTAATTTATTAAATAATTTAATATTGATGTTTCAGATCTGGTGTATGCGGGATGAGTATCCAGAGGGCGCCATCCACCGCACATTCCACTCCACGAGCGACGCCTCGCCCACCTTCAGTATCTCCTATGTCTGATGACGTGGTCCGCATTCATGTGACGTACAACCCTTTGTCAGCCAGCCCTTCCCATTTGCACCCCATTAGCCCTTCAAAGTTCAAGACCTATACCGAGGAACACCACAAACCAGTCTCCTTAGGTTTTTATACGACTAATGGCAGCAATCATCCGTCAGATAACAGAATTAGAATACAGGTACCGTCAGAGGAACTGTTGACCCCAGTAGTGGATTCTGGACGGATTATCTCACAACGTTACATTGAATCTCATTCGGATTTATATGATCTTAAATAGATCTACCCTCTTTATATTTGTAAATTAGAGATCTGCAATATTAATGTTTATCCTACAATAACATTTTGCCCTAGGAAAAAATTTCAATAGTGTGTAGATGATTTAGGAAAATAGTCTTCTCCATATTGTTCTCTTTGTATAAGGAAACATTTAAGAAAAACAGTTCTAGGGAAACTTTCAACTTGTATATTTATTGAAAAATTCCATATGAATGTATGAATTAGTGTAATACTATGTCCTACGAAAATTTTATTTTAATACAGTTGTGTTAAGTACATAATTCCCATACGTACACAAACACACTTGTGTACCACATAAACACATATCCTCGGTATATATCTCAAACGCTCACATTTCTAAAATCAAGTTTATAAGGCTAACAAAAGAATGACTAAGGCCTCCATTACAATGTTTAAATTACACTGTTGAAATAAGTTTTGTAGCTACAATGTGTGTTGAAAGCCTATATTTACTGTAGAATTTAGCTCGAAAGATATAATAACTGCAGCCTGCCTTGTTGACTAATTAATAAATTTCAAAACATAAATATCTGATTGTATATCACTGTATTCTACTCTTATATGTCAGTATATATCGTTTTAAGAGATTTGTACATAAACAGATTGATAAATAATTCCAATTCAATATAAAATTACTAGACAACCGTGTTTTTGAATTGTTCTATTACTGCTAAGCAATGTTCAAGCAATAAATATATACTGAAAATTGTCCAATATCGATCCTTTCTCATGCTTGTTCCTGCGATTATTTCTATCATTTTAAAGTTTAATTTGATTTTCTCTTGCATTTTTAAATCTTTTTGTTAGATTTTGTCATTAGAAGATATATATATATTTGAGAGGAAAAAGTAGAATGTAGGTTTAAATAAACACTATAAGTGTGAAGATGTTATCCATCTTGCTTAATTTTGTTCTTTATACTGAATTCGGATTGAAAGACGAATTTACTATAATTGCTTAAGTAAATATTCAAACTAAACAAATATAATAATGTAAACAAAACGAACATTTGCATCGTTGGGGCTATTCACTCTAAATTCTGTCCTTCATTATATTATGTATGTCGTTTTTCACTTTCGTATGGTTGAACTTCGACTAGTAAAAAGTGATTTAACAAAATTACATGTGAAAATATAAATTTCTCGTGACTCAACTACTGATTTATTTTTTGCATACGATAAAAATGCTGATAGTTCGGTCTTATCATTTATTGTATGTAACCTGACGCCATCCCGTGTTTTCTACGCAGTTAAAAACTTCCTATTGATGATATGTCGCCGTGACCGAAATCTACCAAGTATACATCATCATATGTTAATCAATATAAAGATATTTTTCTCCTGGGTTTCTTTATAATTGTTATTTGGAAATGGGAGTGTTTATAATTTTTGGATTACTTGTTTTGTTTAAGTCTTTTTTTATTCATGCAATTGTCTCAAACGATAATATTCTTATTTGGCCATATTAAAATATATCATAATAAAATAAACATAAACATATAAGTACTAAACTGTGATGTATGAATCTCATTATGGCGTGCATATGTTGGAAATTACTTTTTAAGTTTAGGAATCCAAATTATCACCTACAATATCAAACTCAAAAATGCAGTTGCTTTGTTATTATTATATTATTATTATTATTTACAGCATAGTGAATGGTTATGACCCTGCACTATCTGGTTTCGATAATTTGGTATTGTGAAATTGAATGTTTCGAAACTGGCCAGGAATTCTGGAAAAAAGTAATTAGATAAATATTTATTTTAGTGGTCTAAAGTGTTTTTTTTTTATGAATGTTGTTAATCAAGTTTCAACATGACGGTCTCACCGATTTAGTTAAAGAGAAAGACGGGTACCAATTAATCTATAGTAGAACTACCAGCTGTCAAATGGTGTCACTTATCAGCAGTCGGTTTCCTTGTCAGTATGAATAATGTTTGCGTTCGGTATAATAATCTGTGAAAACCGACCTACATGGGCATATGGCCTCATTTAAGATAGGGACAGACTAGTTCAACTTATGTAACGTATGCGATGCAACGCTCCTTCATTGGTATTCACACTTGAGCCTCGAATACAACGTACGTTTGGCGTGAGAAACTTTTAGAGGACACACGAGTAAAAATTTATACCATGTTTTCTGATTCTTAGTTTGAGAATGATTTACTTAGTCTGATGTTCATAAACGAATATATACGCCACAAAGAAAACGTTTAGATAGTCATTCTGTTAAAATTTATGATTTATAATGCAAAAAAGTACATCAATATGTAGAATACAATATGTTATTTTCGCAATATGTAAAAACATGTTTCATATGTTATCATAACTAGGATAAAAATACAAAAAACTACTTCATTTAATTTTGCACCTCGACCTTTGTTAATATCAAAAATGATAGCAGTAGGTGGATAGGTACTATCAAGGTTTAGGTTTTTTGTGGTTTTGCTATATCTTCCCATACTGTCTAACCAAATTTAGCAATGCGATATTCTTCACATTTAATATAAATACATTCGTATCGCCTTACTAATTCCATGAGCTGTTCATCTCCCATTTTGACAACAAAACGCGTGCACGGTGCAAATTTCTATTTGTTTATGACGTGCTATGCGTAAGTTCTAGGAACGCACTGGTCTTACGCGTAGAATTGCGTCCATGAACATCTCCTCCACCTTCCCACACCGATCTAGATATCGCAGATCGACATTGCGTCGGACGCGTGCACAATGCACATTGAAGGTATTAATTTATTATAATTACTCAAAAACATTTTACAAGATTCATATTCAAAATTTACCTGCCAACCACGGGTTTTGACTTAACCTATATTTTTCATGTATCAATTAGCATTATACTTATTTAAATAATTCTTATTATATGATAAATCGGCGCAAGGTGGAAGGATCGGTAATATTTAGGTGTATTGTTATTTGCTTTGTTGAAAATGTTTATACATTAATTAGTTTCACAAATCACACATATAGGTTATGCAGAGTGTAACGATCTTAAAATAAGTATCCCACCTTAAATTATAAAAGAATGTACCTCTAATAGTCTTCATAGTTACTTGCTAGATTAGTTAAACTTAAAAGACGTTAATGTAGCCAATGATATTATATACAAAAAGAAGCAGATATGTTTTTAGCGCGCGACTCGAAAACGTTCTAAAGATGAACGCACATTTCGTCGTTGACGCCGCAAACTATATATTTTATATTAGACTTAATGGAAAACTACAAATAAGATTAATTTTCTGACGAAAAATACTAGTAATCGGGGAATAATAAATGTTTTCTTGCTCTCTTGTAATTTTTTGAAAAATTAAGGTTCGTCCCTTTGCGGCGTCAACGATTATTTGTCAGCACCGACGACTCGAAAACGTCCTAAAGCTGAATGCATATTTGTCAGTACCGTACGCGCCGCATTTTATTGATAACCTCGTACGTACGCATTGGCACGTACGCGCCGTATTCAAATCTTTTGTATTGATAACAATTTTTGCAGTTTTTTCTAACCACTAGTGTAAAACGTTACAGTGACATTGATCGCTCGGATCGCTTTGGAAAAAAATCTTCTAATAGCCTGCTTATTGGCAGACGAAGAAGAAAATAGAATTCAAAGAAAAAGAAGATTCTAGATTCACAATATTAATTTTAAAAGGCAGTTATATGGAGAATATAATACGTTATATAAAGACTTATTACATCATGATGGTATGGCATTGAAAAGTGAGCTTTATATCGTTTACGTATTTGCATACTTTTGATGGATGGATTATGCATGTCTTGCCTGACGAACCATTGTTGCCTACACAGTTAAAGTAAATACTCCTGAAATGAAGTAAAAATATATTTCGAAATGTGTGTTAGTGGCAGTGGGTTAATGGTGGAGTGATCATCTTGCCACTAATTGAAACTTTATTCTATTGAACCACTAGAAAAACATTAGCCACTGTAAACAATATTCCTCCATTAGGGGGGTAGTCGAAACCACCTGTTTAAGTGGAAAATCCGCTAAGTTGGCAACATTTGGCAACACAGTACATAACAACACGGGCCGCATTATATGACTTCATCAACATGCGTTCTTCAATACATATTCGGATACCTACCGCATTTTATAAAATACGGCGCGTACGATGCGGGCGAAAGGTTTCATATGATTTTATACGACGAATTCTTAAATGCGGCGCGTACGATGCTGATAAATGTTCGTTCACCTTAATTGGGACGTCATGTCTTTAGTCCATGTCACGCAGGGCGACGAGAAAGACGCTGTATATAAAATTTTAACAATAATTAAAATTTCGTCTGTATTTAAAAGGTGTACCAATTATGATTCTTAAGTCAACAAAACATAAGGAATCTCCTATCACATGTTAGTATGCAATATACTTCCATTTATTAGTATATTTTAAAAATTTCATTTTGTGGAGGTCAGCAAAAAAAGAGACGGGAAATAAATTTGACGCGAGGACGATAGGCGGGTGCACTCCAGACATAGATGCGGTGATTGGTGGCTTTTAACGTTTCTTTACAGTTACGTGTAAGTGACTATTTTTTTTCTTATTGTTATAATCACGCCATCCTTTTTACATCATTCGTATGTATTCAATGTAGCGAAATGTAAGATGAACGAAATGTGTGTGATTGGTGTCGTCTCTGTGTTTGGAACACTTATTAGCTTATTACATATCTATTGTATATAATATCATTGAATGTTGCAGGTTCTTCAAAGAGATTTAATTGTCCGTGAAATATTTAACAGTATTTATAGTAGAATAGGATTGTTTGAGAATGTGTATAATAAGTATTATAAGAAAAAAGAAAGCGCAATGTTTTGTAAAGTAAGAATTGGAAAAACTAAAATATTCTATATTTTTATGATTGAATAGCTATCAAAGATATTGATGGGAATTGCTTAGTGTCGAAGTTTATCTAGTGATTTTTATAAAGGAAGAAATTATTTAAAAAAT